AAAAATTTTGTATGACAGCTATATGCTATAATGGTCCGATCTGAACAATTTATTCGGAGATTATACTGCCGACTTATGCAATAATCTATGCTGAATTTTGGGACGATATCGCGTGAAATATAAAAGCTTTTAATAAAAGGACTTGAGTTTGGTCGCTCAGTTTGTAAGACTGCTATATGCAATAGTCGTCCAATAACAGCAGTTCCGATAAATGAGCAGCTTCTAGAAGAGAAGAAAACGTTTGAAACATTTCAAACCAATATCTCAAAGAGTGAGGGTATAGTTCACCTATATACTGACAGACGGACAGAAAGATGTGAAGGGCTAAATCAACTCACCTCGTCACGCTGATTATTTATTTATATATTTTATAGGGTCTCCGACATTTCCTTCGGATAGTTGCAAACTTGGTGGCAGACTTAATATACACTGTTCAGGTGTAACAAAGGAACTATAATTTTACTACAAAATCGTCAGTGCAACAATAGCGGGGGCATGCAACAATTGCTCAAACATTAGCCAACTTGCTACTTGATTGCCTCAAAAACTTCGGGTTTTACTATTAGTAGTAGCGAGCCTCTACTAATACTTCTGACAATGGATTCATCGGTGAATGTGGGGCTTTTGGAAGCCGCAATGCGTTAGTTAAGGCTAAATGAAGGATACTACAAGTTTTGAACCGCTGCTAAAGCCGAACCAGCGATGTTTTTCGTGCAAATTTTTTTCAGGTTGCAGATACATTCGAAGTTTTATGAAAAAAATTTTTGTTTTGTACAATTACCCAGAGTTGCAAAGATGTTATAATTCTTCAAAATTATTTATCAGATTGAGCCACAACTTTTAAACTTGAACTATATATGTGAGTATACTTCAACTATATACAAGTAGTAGAAAAGGTTTATCTCTATCAATGCTACCAACAGCATTCATCAGTGAAACCTCATTCAGTTTTAAAAAACTCAAAAAGGGTTTGCTCTGATCTAATTCAATATTACGCAAAATACTAAATGTGAAAACGGACAAAGTCGTAAATAAAACTGATTTAGATAAATGAATACTACAAGTATGTAGAATTTTTTCCTTGGGAATATTTTCGATTTAAAAATTTTTAGTCATTACTGAAAAAGAAGAAGAAACACGCTGCAGTGGCCCGCGATGCAACTCTGCCTTTCACAAAAGAAAAATAACAGAACCACAACAATGTTCTCTGATATAGTATGGTATGTACATTCCATCATTGCATGATAAAAACTCTATAATTTATTAAACGAAAAATTTAATTATATTCAATAAAAGTTTATCAATTTTATTTTATTTTGGTAACGAACCTTGCTTGTCACCAAATATTTGCAGATGTTCACTTATACAATTATTGAATAATATAACCAATATCGTATTCTAAAAAATATTTGTTCACCTCGGTGACAGTTGAGTTAATATAAGGCACTTAAACGCACTGTCAAGCCAAATGAGACTTTTCGGGAGGTAATAACTGAACAAGCTTTCCATTTTATAGCTTTACAGTGAAGACTCAGGCTATGAAATATTCCAAATTAGCTTAGTTAGTTATTAGTTGGTAATTACCTCAGCAATTATTTGTGATAAGTGAGTGCGTTGGTCATATTTGGTTCTTATTTCTTTATTGTAACCTTATATAACAAAATTTCAGTTCTAGCAGTTGGGCTGCTCATCAATATTTCTATAGACTCGACCGAAGCTCAGACATCTTCTATAAGGAATAAGGCAATTGTGACTACCTCTCGTAAGTGGAATCGGAAGAACCAAAGTGAGTGGACCAACAGCTAAGTCATCAATAAGAAGAAGCATGAAGGAGATCTATGAAACGAAGATGGAAATCACTTAAAAGAAGACTTAAAAAGACGGTGTTTACTACACCAAAAATTTTTCTCCCTGAGGGTTAAGTTGATGAAGTAAGTTATTGAAATTCAAGTGTTTATAAAGTTATAGGGAATGAAAAAAAATTTAAAAGTGTAATAAAACAACCGACCTGGTAAATGGTATAATGTGTTGGGGACGTATTTATAATTGATAATGAAAGTAGTAGACAATTAAAGTATACTTTATTTAAGTTAATACATTTTTTTTTAATAAAGCAACAAATATATACATACAGAATAAATTACAATTATTGTTAGCAATCTTTACAACGAAAATAACTCATATTTTTGCTGCTAGCAAATAATGCTTATCGCAACTAAAAATAAACAAAGATTAATTTCTTAACGCAATGGATTGTACAATATATTTGGTCACTCCGTCTTTAGCGAATACAAACTAATTGGAAGGTTGCGAATGCCAATCTAATTACAAATTGAGTGTGTATCAAATCTGTAAGAACTTACCATTAAAACTGGTGACTTCGAAAATGTTTTTCATTAATTTTGTGTCTTTGCAAAGCCGTGGTGGGTTCAAATAGCACGAAGCAAAATAACCTAGATACATTCTTCAGTTATAAATGGTGCGGTGGCATACCCGGTACATCCAATGGATTTGAAAACTGAATTAGGTAATTCACAGCTTCGTTAGCATTGCACACAGCATTGATTTGTACAGGTTGGTTGAATGTGCTAGAATGGAGAACTACATAAAATTTATAAAAAATGAAAAGCTGTTTGGAAAGTAAAAAGGTAAAACAATGAACTCTGAATATTATTACAGCCTTTTGGATCAGTTGGATGAAAAAATTAGTAAGAAAATACCTAGTTCGCAACACAAAAATTTTTCATCAAGACAATGAACCTACTCACAAAGGTGTTTTAAAAATGACAAAATTCAAAAATTAAGGTACGAACTGCTTGAGCATCCGGAAAGTCATTATGGGGATGGCATCTAATTATTGTAAAATCATTGGAATAAATGTATTTAAGGTAAGGGAGATTATATTGACACTGTATGACACCAAGTCCTCTGGCAACAACTGTTCAATCTCTGAATTTAATCCATGTGGATGTAACATTTAATGCGGCCAAAATCACTTTTTCTGCCAACCATTCAAGATTTGTATATTTTTTGTGTAAATCGGGAAATATCGTATCGGTGAGAGTATTTTGTGAGTTGATGATTGTGATTCGGTCGCTAATTTTATGCAACCAGTATTTTCATGTACAACAACGGGAAGTATTTGTCTGAAATCACCAGAAGGAGTACCAGACTGTTTCAATATCCTATTCAATGCCTCACGCGATTGTTTGTATGCCGTAGTGTATTCATCCCAAATTATAAGTTTACACTGTTTCAGCAATGTGGCCATAGACGATTGTGCTTTTAATGTGATGCTCTTTTTTGATCTATCTCAGCTAGAAGTAGCGAAATAAGGAATGTTTTGCCAGTTCCAACTTGTAGAAGCCGATGATAGAACTATACATGAAAATACCATAATTTTTATATAATCATTATATTCGATTGCCATTTTGTTGATCTGTGGATGTAACAGAATAATATAAAAATCACGATTAAAAATTAGCGGTTGAACGTATAGGTGTGGAGTTGTATGTATTTTTCAATGCTAAGTCGTGGAAAAATAAAACAAAAAATTGTGTCCAAAAAAATATAAAAAAAGGAACATTTAGGGTGCACCACTTGTAACATTTAGGAGTATGAAAAGTAGATTTTGGCGCTGTCTGTAAATTCAGTCCATTAATTTTTTCAAGATTAACCAGAAAAGAACGGAGCTTTGCCTTTCATTTAGTTTTTGATGTACTATAATCGATATATTATATATTTGGCTAAAGTTAGCGAATATTCCTTTGAAGTGCATAACTTCCTGATAAAATTTTGGATTGCTTGAAAAGTGTTGAGAAAGATATCAAAACCTATTGAATCTGCTAGTTCGAATGCCTTTAGCTTTTAAATACTATGTAAATTTATTTAGTATTACATTTTGGTACCAAGCTGTGGTGAGCTCTTTAGCGTAGCTTCATTTATATGAATTTTTTCGAAAACCTCTTATATGTAAATCAGTTCTATAGACAAACAGAATAGTTGATATAGTAAATTTTTCAAAATTTTAAATAGAAAAGCCAAATTCGTAATTGAAGACATTATCATTGTTCGTGAAACATGCAGATTGTATGAAGTCTGGCCCAAAAAGACCTACAGCACAAGATCAGTGGTGGAATGTCGGACTATCGTACTGATGCCAAAGAGTGTACAATTCCATGTGTTCAATTTCTGACATTTATTTTACGAAAACATTTTCGAATCCGTTCAAACTGCCTCTCTCTGAGAAACAATTGTTCTCAATTCTCGATAATTTATCCACATGGACCTTTCTTTCTATATTATTCTCTCTATCCATTCTCTTGAACTCATAAGGTAATGCTTAGCTAAATTTTTTTGTTCATTGGTATTAATTGTTTTTTCAGTAATCGCAATTGGAGTTTTCCGGGTTCTGGACTTAGATAGTTTGCATATCTTACAAGATCTTTCATTCCACCGGAGTTTTAAAGATATTTTACTTTAAATAGAAAATATGTAATTTGTCATGCCAATGTAGATGATAGACAAGCCTATATGTAGACGATCTTAAACTCACTCCAAGAGTGTTGTTTAGTTATATTTTATTGCACTCTCACGGTAGATGTTGTTCTGTTAAGCGATTCTGGGAGAGTGCTCAATAAATTCAGTCTCCGCTTAACAATAACGAATCTTTTCTTGAAAGTGAAAATAAAGTCTGTAAAAAATATTATATAAAGACACTTAATAAATCATATTTAAAGAATTAAACGAACATTGTAATCCAACTTCTTCTTCGCCTTAAAAACCCATACCTTCAGAATGTATTAACTTTTTAAACAAACAACTTTAATTTTTTGGTCATAATTATGCCATAAACAAAGGCACTTCAGCTAAATTTCTTTTCACAGGTAAGTACCTTGCCTTATTCGAAAACAAATTCTTTGCTATAAATAAGTCCACGGATTCTTTGAATAATACCAAGTTATTATTTTTTGCACTGTGACAGCAATTGTTAAGCAAAAATGCTCACCCGAGACTTATCAACTCCACGTAAGTCGAAGTAAGTTTCTGCCTCGCAGTCTTGTCATGAGCGCTTATGTTTTCAGTTTCCGGAGCTTTGCTGATTTTCTACATACTACTTCTTATACAAGTGGAGCTGTTATATGCGCAAGTTACATCGAAGCCGAGCAGTGATAATACAACAAATGCTACGACAACTACAACAGCTACGGCCAATACAACAGCTCCTACCACTATAATAACTGCTATCGCTGAAACTGCTCCAATAATCGGAGGAAGTCCGAGGAAAAGTGTAACTGTTGAAGTGGTTATAGTGATAGTTGGATCCGGAACGAGAATACCAACTCCAGTCACGACAACGACAACGAAAAGGCCACCTTCAAGCTTGGAACCAACACCTACAATAGTACCTATAACGGTACCAACGGTCAGGACAACGCCAACAACCAAAAAACCACCACCGGTTACAAAACCTCCTCCGACCAAAAGCCCACCGATTACAAGACCTCCTTTGACCAAAAAAACACCAACGATCACAAAACCACCTCCGACCAAAAAATTACCAACGATCACGAAACCTCCTCCGACCAAAAAAATACCAACGATCACAAAACCACCTCCGACCAAAAACCCAACGATCCAACCTCCTCGACCAAAAATACCACGATCACCAAACCACCTCCGACCAAAATTACCAACGATCACAAAACCTCCTCCGACCAAAACCCCACCGATTACAAGACCTCCTCCGACTAAAAAACCACCAACGATCACAAAACCTCTTCCGACCAAAAAATTACCAACGATCACAAAACCTCCTCCGACCAAAAAATTACCAACGATCACAAAACCTCCTCCGAAAAAGCCCACCGATTACAAGACTTCCTCTGACCAAAAACACCAACGATCACCAAACCACCTCCGACCAAAATTACCACGATCACAAAACCTCCTCCGACCAAAAATACCAACGATCACAAACCACCTCCACAAAATTACCAACGATCACAAAACCACCTCCACAAAACCCCACCGATTAAAGACCTCTCCGACCAAAACCACCAACGATCACAAAACCTCCTCCGACCAAAAGCCCACCGATCAAAACCACCTCGACCAAAAATAACAACGATCACAAAACCTCCTCCGACCAAACCAACGATCACAAACCACCTCCGAAAAGCCCACCGATTACAAGATCTCCTCGACCAAAAACTCTTGATCGCAAACCACCTCCGACCAAAAAATTACCAACGATCACAAAGCCATCTCTGACTAAAAGACCACCAATAATCTCAAAACCACCTCCAATAAATCCACCACCAATTAGAAGTCCACCTCCAATTAAAAGGCCACCTCCAAAAAAAAGCCCGCCGCCAATCAAAAGACCATCTCCAATAAAAATATCACCCCCTATTAACAGGCCACCACCGATTAGAAGACCTACTCCAATCAAATGGCCAGTACCAATAAGGATACCGCCGGTAGAAAGGTCACCATTTCAAAGGTTTCTTAGAAAACTAAGATCGTAGAAAGTCTAGAAATATTTGAGAATAAATTTAAATAATTAATTCACTTAGTTAAGGAATGCTTTTTAATTAGACTTCTATGAGATTGTAGAATTGGCGCCTATGGAAGTGAGACCATGGTAACTACTTAACTACTCTGTCGTACACAGAGAGTTGTCGGATGAAAGTGAAGACAACTTGTCCTGTTCTCTAATCGTTAAGTTGAAACGAGTTTCTATCGATTATGTTCTATAAGAAACTTGACCTTTTTTAATTTTAATTTATCGGTGTAGATGTGATTACTACTGGCGGTAGACGGGAAAACGTATTCTATCTTTCAGATACATTTTTCTTTTCAGTTATATATATACAATATATATAGTATAGCTCTAGTTCTGTACCTTTGTCTAGTGCCATTACTAGATCACGTTGGAACATTTTAAATTATAGCACCTCGGGTAAAATTGCCTTAAATTGTGAAACTATCACCTTTCTTGAAAATAATAATACTTCCAGTTCTTTGACCAGTCTTATAGAGCTTTCATACATATGCTCCAACTCCCAAGTAGAAGGGTTTGGATTCTCACATGCTTCAAGAACTACAAAATCATGTGTAAAAAAAAACAATTTTGATCGCATCGAACCTATGGCTGATTATACTGAGCAATGACAATCTGCCAAGTGAACTTATGAGTGATGAAAGTTTATGAACTCTTCACTACTTTAGGCTGATGAATTTATAAAAACTAACTAAAAATTAACTAAGATCTGTCTCTTATGTATTGAAATTTTGAGAAGTGGCGAATCGAACCAACAACTGGTTAAACCACGGGGACTGGTATTATAGAGGTAAAAAAAGAGAGTGTTAAAACACTGTAATGAGATATCAGCATATTCTCTTGTGCTAAACTGTACTGAACAATTTTGTTGTTGCTTCCATGTGTACACTCTTTGAGAGAATGGATGATGAAATAGTGAGCTCAAAGCAACTCAAGTCTTCTGAATAAATATTCTCCAAAAAAAAAGGAAAAAACGATCTGAGAAACGAGTGAGAGTTATGAAGACCTCGGTCAAAAGCTTCGAGGCAGTTATAAAACCAACAAGACGCAAGAGAATTTATTGTTAGTCTATATAATTTCAATAATTTTAAGCACAAAAGAGTTACTACCACTATACAATAATTAACTAATTTCATTGAGAAAAATATCAAATATTTTACAAACCAAAGAAATAAAGCTCCGCAGCCTTTCATTTACATATGTATGTAATAAGTGCCGCTACTGGGCGGCTGTGTTATGCAAATTACCAGTTTGGATTCCTAGATATTATTCTTAACTCTTTCCCATTGGCATTGGAATTTGTAAGTGGGCATTTTCGACATATCTAGCATTTCAACCATTTCGGACCGCTCGGCAATGAACTCGTTCACCCTGCTAAATCGACAAATCCGTAAATGTCGAAATGTTGGCATACCGTCATGCTTTATTGACACCGCTTTCATATGCAAATTTCCGTTAGGGCACCGATGATGCTGACTAAAGTGAAGCGAGCAGCGTACAGCGAGAACCTTAAGCCGACACCGGGTCTGCTAGCATACTTTTCTCCATTTAACTCTTGCACAGACCTTATTGGCACTTTCAAGGATGTTATTAAGTGCCAAAATGTAGGCCGTGTGCCCAAGTGTACATATGTGTGTGTGATAAGTGTGTCGGTCGGTGGGGCGACATTCGAAGGCTGATTTGCATCAGTTCTCCCACAAATTTTGGGTATTGGATATTTCCTATTGTTTACTTAGCGGGGTTGCACATGTGTTGCTGACTTTCTTTTCAGGCTCTAAGCTTTCTACCACACTTTTTTCGAGACATTTTCTTTTGATATCGCCTGACAAGGTCTGCATTTTATTCATTTGTGTCATTTACATTTTTACCATTCAAAGCTTGTCAAATGTTCAACTTCTGCCACTGTGTTGGCGGCATTCAGTGAAAATTTTCAACATTTTGTTTCGTTTAGATCCACACGTCGGCGACCATGTTGCGGGTGTAATTGGTTGCTTGCAACCACATTGTGAACAGCTGTTACACGTGTTCAACCTTATAAAGCACTTGCTGGCAACAACAACAACATCAACAGTATGTTATAACAACAATTAAGGAAGAGCTAAGTTCGGGTGCCATCGGGACCACATTCATCCATTAACTTAATTCATCTCACATATTTATTTAAAAATCCTTATAAAAGGTATATGGAGGCTAGTGAATTATCTCTATTAATTGTCCACTTTTAGCACCACGCCAAATTATCGCCGGAAAAATATTCTCTCTAAGTTTTAATAAAATACCTCATGTATTGACCGAAGCTACTCCTTGTTAAAGTCAACCAGAAATTTCGAAAATTTGTATATTAGCCAATTTTATCCATTCTCGGCATAAGGACACGTTATTTTTAGGAAAGGTTGTTCTCTTAACTTCATCTCAGATATCTCACAGATATATTGATATTTTCGGTATTAAGTTAGCCAGGTACTGAGATCCCGATATGCGGCATCTACGGTGTTGAAAGGTCAGATTTCTAACATTTGCAGATGGGAGGTGAACATTTTGACCTATTACCATTATTCATAAGTTTCATTGCATTGCAAGCTTTGTACTTTTCAACATAACTTTTTATAAGAAGTGAATGTGCTTAATATCCCATTTTACCCAAACATCAAGTTTGGTTGTTAAAGCTTTCATACTTTGGAAGAGAAGTATAGTAAACGTATCACGTGGCGGGGCTAAGCTCACTTTTCAAAATTTTTTTATAACCACAGACGATTCTCCATCTACCACATTTAAGTTTTGTAAAATTATTTGTTACTTAGTTATAGCACTCTATAACTTTTCGGAAAAGGGCTTTTTGTAGGCGTGGTAAAGGTTCGACTTTGCCCATCTGAAATACCAACCAAATTCCTCTGGTTCATGTTTGTTGAACAAAAGTATTATACTCCATGCACTAAGTTGTGAGGGTATAAAAATAATAAAAAGTTCCTTCGTGATGGCTTGATGTAACCGGAAAAGGTATAAATTGAAATTTAAATGCACAGTTATTCGAGCTCATACATATTTACATACACAGCTCCATATTTATATGTTGTTTTTGTTGCTTTCTTTGCCATACTTTAGGTGTGCCCCCGGTGGCACCGAAAGCATAACCGAATTTTGTTAACTGTAAAAATTTGTTTGTATTTAGGTCTGTGTACGCACAGGGATCGCTTTCTGTTGCGCCGCCAGGGGAAAACAAAATGGCAGCGGGCAAATCTATTTATGCATAGAAAGTGTGTGCTTTATATATTTCCAAATATATGTAAATTTTTAAATAAATTGCTTTTTAATTTAAAGCGCCCCTTTTTAATTTAATTTCCATGTATTGATGGAAAATTTCGTTGCGAATTCAAATTTTGCTAATCCACACGAGTTTAGGACATGGCATGTCCGATGTGTGGGCTCAATGCAATTTTAAAGAGTTTAGAGCAAGACGATAGGCACTTGAAGAGTTAATACAATTGACTGAATCAAGGTTACTAGCGATTTTGGGTGCTGTTAAAATTATGTTACAAAAGAGCTTATAGCAAAATGAAAGCTTATTTGATTCTGGTTTTCATTATCTGATTCTTAAGACGAGTTTAGGAAATTTTCTAGTTGGATTTTTTGTTATTTATGTGACAATTTGAAGCGCAGTCCAATGGAGATGTCTTCCTATCAGTTCTTCTTAAAATATATGAGGTTTCTTTCTTACAACATAATCAACAGCTGGCACTAGCCTTGATTAAAATTGTTATCTACTTTTTTTGTTCTATAAGATATCATATATGTATAAAATAGTTTCATTTGTGGGAGCACAATGTACTAGGCTTTACTACCTTGTTACGACAGGAGCCGAAAAAGTTCAGTAGCCTCTGCTTGCAAGAAAATAATGGGCTCTGTTAAAGTTATATTCTTCAGTTGAAAACTGTTTGTAATTTGTATTGTTTTATTGTATTGTATTATTTCCCTTCCTATTTTTCATCATTCCATTTAATTATGTTGTTTAAGATCCGAATAAACCCATTTAGTTTGGTCAATTTTTGTTCCGCAATATTGTGCTGCACTCGGCCTTCATAAGAGCTCCATCGTAGTCGGCAGGCCTCGGTTTAAAAATAAAGCGATCGCTTATGGCATATTTTTGAACAATGTATATCCAAACGTCTGGCTTTCTGCTTGTAGTTTTTCAATTTCTAATAGGCTTTGCGACTCGAAAACGGTCATTTACTTTGATAGTCTTTTATATGAGCGACTTCTTCTGGGCTTTTCCTCCGACTCGGGCAAAGACGGTTTCTCCTTTTTTAAATGTTGTTTAACAGATTATATAAACCTCAGCTCACTCTGGCCGATACTGTAATTTTTTATCAACGTTGAAGCATTTTACAATAAATATCTAACCGATGCATCAACCTTGCATGGATATTGAAATCGAGATAAGCTCCATTAACCGTAAAGTTAATCAGCCTTCAGTGTTTCGTAAGCTAGATAATTGATAAATCTTAAAACTGAATATAGTTTTTTTCAGTTAGAATCTTTTAAACCAATCAGGGGCGGGTCCAGGGCCATTTTTAAAAATTTTCAACACACAAATGTCCCTTTAAACCATGATAATTTGTACCAAATAACGGTTGTGTATCTTAATTCCGAGCTCACTTATATTTTCGCTTAAATCCAACTTATTTTATCATCCTGACCATTTATATATGTACATATCTAACTCCATATCTACCTTGATTAGTTTTAGGTGATACAAACAACCTTTAGGTGAAAAAAACTATTATACTCCGAAGCAACATAATGCGAGAGTATAAAAAACGACTTCTTGATTTCTCAAAAATAAATTTTTTTATTATTTTTAGCGTTATTAAAATAGGAGATATTTTTGTTTCGACGACAGTCGGATCTATGACGCCAGAATGACTTTGGCCCCCTCAGACTAGACTTTAGTTTTCAAATTGAAATAATATATATTATGTGCACCCCTAGAACACATCTATTAATTTCAAAGATTCTTAAATGCGTGCATAAACTGCTGGAAACATTCTTCGATTACTTTTGTTGGCATAACCGAAAAATCCAGCTTCTTTTACCCGCTGGCGAAGACTCTCGCTCTGTATGCCGGCATAAAGTGCGTGCTCCATCGTGTCGTATTGAAATTTGGACAGAATAAAGGTTTCGCTCACACCACAAACAATTACATCGCCATGCTCATTACCAATCATAATGGCGGTGCCACTTGGTGAGGGCCTAAAAATATTAATTCGACAGGAATAAATTATATAAATATGTATATGCGTTTTTATATTCGTTTGTGTACTTGAACAGGGTGTTGTGACTCGAGGCCACATTCACGGATTGGATCGGTCTAAATGGATTGCGTATGTCCCATATGTCGAGTGTTTTCCGTGTCAGTGAAAATATTGTGGTCGATTGAGTGGGGCTCCAGGCGGCATAATGTACAGGAAACATTTTATGGGTTAGCTCTAGAAGTGGTTCCGTCACCCCAAGCATCCAAACTCGCACGAACCTATGAAAGGTATAATATGCATTAATGAAAAGTTTTAATCTTCAAAAGTTAAATTGTTAGGATGTTTATTCGAGTTTGTCGAATTTCTTGTGGACCAAGAATATAAGTAGAGTTAAAATTTTTTTGATTCAGGAGCGGAAACGTGATTATTACAGTAGTTCATCTCTTGAAGGGCTGGATATCAATTTGCAGAGGTGTGTAAAGGCTTATTGTGAAAATTTGTTTGAATGGGGTTGCCAGATGTTTGATTAACTTTTTTTAATAATATAAATAAAATAAATTAGTAAGAAATTTAAGAAAGCTTACTGTTAAAAACATTTTTAGAAGGGTTGCCACCTTTTTAAATTTTAAATCCGTAAAAAATGGAAATTAGAGCGAATTATTACAGTATAGCTAAGTCTTTAAGAAATCTTACGGTTAAAGATACTTTTAGTATTGCCAACTGATTAAAATTTAATATTCAACCGACTTAAATGTCAAACAAAATAATACAATTTGGATGCTAAACTAAAAGGCTGTTGGAAAAGTTTACATTAGAAAAGGGTTCCAAAAGAGTTGCCAGCTATTTTACAAAACAAAAATTTAATTAGTCAATACATACCAATCATTGCCACATGTAAGGAATATTTTCGGTGACCACGGCGAAAACTCCATACAGTTGACCGATCCATATATGTGTGTGCGTAATGGCAGCGAGAAACTGTGCTCCAGTGTCATTGAACCATTATGTATGCAACCCTGATCGGTCAGTACGTAGTATAAGTCTCTATTCAGTGGATCCAAGGTTAAGTTGAAGCAGAACAAGGTGCTGTCGGAAAGTTGTTCTAAGTCTGGGGCATCTCTATGCAAAGACAAGCCTTCGGTGTCACCACGTACGCGAGTCAAACGTGTCAATTCCGTGGTGAAAACATGAGGTCCATTGTGAAAACGATATTTACGAACCACTGCAGTTCGTGAAAGAGTTATGAAACGCTTAAAACCTTGACATGGAAAAATGGGCTTCAAATACCATTTAATTGCAATAACGGGATCATTGCCTGTTATAGCTGATTTATTTATAATTAACAGTGGTGGATTATTTTCTACGCTTATATCGCGTACTTCCAGCCAACCATTGGCCATACCCACTGCGATGAGTGAGTGATCGAAAGGCGAGAAAGACACTGCCGTAACTGGAGAGTTGTAGGAATACGTGCGTTCCGGATGCAATACATTCTTAATACTCCACACGCATACGTTGCCAGTCGTTGCTGGTATTTGTACCGCATACGAGTATATGCCGTAAGCGACGGCAACCAGATCGGCATTGCCGAAGCAAAAACTTAAATCCGAAACTGCTTTACGCACCCTAAATGGTTGATTCAGACTTTCAAAAGGCGGTTGGGTGAAACGGAAGAGCTCTTGGATGTCATAAGAGTACATGCCTTTTTTGTGTAGTCCCGTCTGTTTTAATAAATTGCGATAATGCATCTGTCCCCTAATATGGGAATTAATAGACAAACCGCGTTCGATACGCATTACAGCTCTGGCAAAGGACGCACTGTGAGCCAGTGCATTCAGACAGTCTTCTGTGCCTTTGGTCGGGCATTTCGCGAGATTACTCTGTTTTTTGTGTTGTTTATGTGTATGCATTGTGTCATATATATCGTATCTGGATGTATAATCATTGGAGTCCCTTTGATATATATGACCAGTTTCGACTGCCGCGTTCAAAAGCAATACACTGCGCGTTTGCGCTTCGCTATCCCTGCGTCCGCGCAAGCGTCCCTCTCCCATTGTCAGATATTCATATACTAAGTTGTCGTCAATTACTTCTGACGATTCGGGAGAACCCTTTCGCACCGACTCACTGTTATGTTCATAAAGCACTACAGAATTAGTTGGGCGCAGCACTACATGAATATAATCGTTGCATCTGAAAATTCTTGAAGGCATTGGTAACACACTTGATAGAGCACCAGCAAGCTCGTTTTCCCGGAAGACCATTGTCATGCTGGGTACCTGAAAATAATAACAATAAAACCTTCTAATAAGATAATAGGTTAGATTTTAAAAGTAGGTTAGGTTAGGGTAAGACCAAATATGTTAATAAGAAGAACTTGAATGAGTGAGATTAAATATTGTTCCAATATCCTCTTCCTTTCATCTTGAACGTAAACGGTAGAAGAACATTGATGATGACGATTGAATTATTTGCTTTAAGGATTTCCCAGTTTCAAAAAGAGTAAAGAAACCCATATATGTCATAATCGCACGATTGAAACCTTTTGACAAGAGTATGGAATATGCTCCACATCGCGTTTGGTTTCCAGTGGAGTGGAGTGGGACCGGTACTTTTTTTTTGCATTAAGCTACTTCCATATTAAACTTGTCTGCCCATACCAAAATTGCATCAGGATGGGAACCCGTGGTGCCACTGTCTTTGTACATTCGGGCGCTGTATTTAAAGGTTTCGCGCGAGCTTATCAAGCGTTGGTCAGCAACCAGCACTTGTGGGGTTACGAAACCCATCTGGCTCAGAGTGGAACATAAACGGTCTAATTGACCTGCTAGCTTTCAACAATGCTTACATAGCTGCAATCATAGTTGTGTTAACTTTAAGCTTTTGTATGACGCAACTTGTGGAAGTTACAATGACGAAGATGAGGAGAAAACATCTAGACACTTTCTCCTCCACTGTCCAGCTTTCGCAGACTAAGGTTGATGCCAAGGTTGCCATACTTTTTACGAACTTAGCGAATTGATATTAGCCGCCTCAATAAATTTGCCTACGTACGAATTGGGTGCGATAACTCAATCAGTGATAATAGAAACCACAATTACAATTATTACACAAATTACTTTCATAACTAATAAACGATAATGATACAAGTTATCCAAATATTTACGGACATTAAAAACTAACTTGTTTCTCATGTTAAAACCGCTAAGACATATAATATTAATTTTTGATAAACAATTTCCTTACATACCCCATCCATGATATCGCTGATGGTTAATTTCAGTCCGCCCATAGCTCTAGTACCGCGTATCGAGCTCATCATGCTGAGATGCTCGGAGATAAAGCTTTGCTTCCCTTTCATTTTATATATTTCTTTATTCACTTTTGCATACAGGCCTTGGACTTGCTTCCGATACTTCGTAGTATGCGGCATTTCTTTTGGCATCCATTCTTGTTCATTTTCATATCTTATAAACTTTATTCGGCGCCATTCATCCAATATTGTTGCTACATTGTAATCGAATTTGATCGAAGTGGAGGTGCGAATGAGGCGAGTTCCCCGTCTCATATTCTACAAATATTATCTTTCTAAGCTGAATAATTACTTTTAATTATGCATTGTAAGTTTACTTGCTCTTTACTATTCTCCATTTTATTCCTTGTAAGCAAATTTAAATGAATTGTTCAGTAATTTCAAGTGTTGCTAATCAAAATTTAATGAGAAATATTATTCGGAAAATATTTTCAGCAAATGATAGCTAATCCGTTTCATAAGTTGAAGTAATTAGCGAGTTTAATCGCTAAGAATTCAAAGTGTTTATGGGAAAGTAGAAATACATAGATTTATCGCACAATACAAATAATTTTTAAAATAAAAACCTCAGTGATGGGAAACAGAAAGATGACGATCGAGAGTGACAACACTTTGGCCATCGAACCTCCATCACCTCATAACATATATTAAAAATTGTAGGCTCACTTAAGTGGTGAATTTAAAAAAATCGATTTTGTTTTGCAAATATATATCGAATTTACAAATATTTTAGAATATTCACTAAAAATTTAAAGTTGATCCCGCAAAAGTTTTGAAGATATGAGCGCAAACTTTAAACGAACGTTGTTTTCACTTTTTTCTTAGATATATGTATATAAAAAGATCGAGAGAAGAAGATTTTGGCAGTAATTTCGATTTTAAGCCACTCTGAAATGTGAGTTTTTCAGCAAAAAAGCAATTTTTTTGGAACCCACCATCTGTAGTAATATAAAATTTGTTTGGTTTTTGGTTTTTAATTAATTTTAAGCAGACAAATCTTAGTCACCGCCAAACACTTCATTTCGGAGGTCCTAGTGGAAATCAGCAACGGGAACAAGCGCACTCAAGATTTATAAAAATGAACAAGCGATTATTAAAGTACACTAAATTCTGTAAATTATTATATTATTATTATTTATTTGTTAAATGAAATGCCTCTTAAAAAAATTCACAAAAAACTGCTTATAACCTTAACCTATATAACAAATTCAAGCTATTATTATTAACCTGTATGTTGTTATATATAAATATGTTATTCTTGATACTGACTTACATTATGTTAAGTGAAATATTACAATTGATATGTAATATCTCTTTTACGGACCAATAAGCAATAAAGCCAAAAAAGTGGAGGGTATAATTATGATGGGCATTATAGAAAGTTCTAAGCTGAATCACAATTTAATTTTTTTGTAATAATTGTAAGTAATGCGAAGCTCAATAAAAAATTATCGATGTATATGGTATAAAGATAAGTACAACCGAAAAAAAAAATATTATTCGATATAGGTATAGGGTCTGGTGGGAATTCTAAACTGATATCAAACATTTATGGCATTAAACTAAAGTTAGATCCTTCCTACTACAAAGTATGGAAAGGATTTGCGACGAACTCAGCAAACACAAATCTCACCCAATCGTTTGGAATTGAGGTAGTTGGAACAATCGAAAGTTCCTTAAAAAATCAAGAATTCATCTGAGTGGCATTCATTGACATGGATGCGCATTTACCAACGCGAGTACGGCTGCACTTATATCGGCTATCGCTTTTTTTGACATCAATCTGATCGGTTAAGTCATATGCTACGCAATATACAAGCTATATACGATGGAAAAGGTATCATCACATTACTGTTGGTGTTTACGACTCCACATGTCTATTGGCTCTACATAGGTGTCATCCGTCTAATACTACAATATGGTTTGGTGGTGTGGTGGATGATATTATCGAGAAAGTGTCGCATCAAACCCCTGGAACAGGTGCAAAGGCCTGCTTGCTGGAGATTGCGTAATGAAAAATACATCAACAAAGGCTTTGGAGGTTATCCTCCTTACATATTTAAGTGAAGTATGAGGCAATGCTTAAGGTTAGCTCATTATTTTATGCCTTTAGCTGTACCAAGTGGGCTTCTGCTCTAAACAGCAAGTTCATAAACCTTTTAGTAGACAAACACGCGGCAATGAAGGCTGCTCGTAGCGCTACTGCATTAGCAAGCTGGCAATAATTAAACTCTCAGTAGGTAACTCCGTTAATGTAATTTAGGTACCTAGTCATATAGAAATAGAAGGAAACGAATTTAGCCGGTTCAGGCGGTATATATAATATTTCACGGCTCCCAATGAACCAACTTAAGAGACATTGTTCAGCTGGGGTTGAAAAAAAATCAAGTTTCTTACCAAACCTACGGCTTATTTTGGTTACCACCCGGGAGCACAATAGCACAATGGGCCGATGTGCGACCGTCTGCGGTCTGGCGCTCCTACGCTTCTCTTTTCAACCAAACAACAAAATAATCTCATTCAAAGCCTTTGAGCTAGTTTTACGGATATATACAGTATAAAATCAACTTGAATCATAGATATTCTATGGTTTGTAAGATGAGACCTATAAAAGCTATGTACAAATTTCATGACGATTTAAATAAGTGCTGTCTAATGTCAAAGAATCTATTTATGTAAAAATTGCTCCATATCTTCAATAATCTGTGATTAATCTATTCTTAACAGGAATAAGCTAGTGCGATTCAAACTGTCGTTACATGGAATTTAGTTAAGTAATTTTCTACTGCTTTATTACGAGTCTCCAATATTCGAGTAGCAAACCCACTTACTTACTTGTTTGTTTCTTTTAACTTTTAAAACTAATCTTGTTTCGTAAAATTTGAAATTGAAAAAAAAATCATTGGCTTTTTATATGTAATAAACTGGGATGTCCCGAATTAAGCTTTCACTCAGCTTTTGTTTGAGTTTGAGACTAAAATTCAGTTTTGTTTTTATTTATCTTCAACTGTATTAAGTTGTCAAAACCGGATAAGAGAGACATAAGTAAGGCATTAGAAAATTTATTTTTACACAAACATACACGACTTTTGATGTACAAGTAGTGCAGCACATTTATGCTCAACTCCTTTGACTTCATGGGGAAATTTTCTAATTTAAATATTTTATGTTGTAGGTTTAATGTAAAACATTGAGTAGTTTAAATTTATATTTCTCAAATAACATAAAAAATTAAAGTTTTCAAAATCAGTACGGTAAATTAAGGGTTCTATTTAAATTGTGATCTTTTGATTTAAAGAAAAGCTTTATGAATGTTCTAGAGGCTGTACTCCGAAGTGCGCAGTCGTAAAACTTAAACAATTCGAAAGAGTCAACAGATGGGATGAGATCGATAATCGTTATGATAAAGGCGGTGGCGGTATAAATCTTTTTTGGAGTAGTGCGAAATAACGTCATATTTTGCTCTCGAGAGTTACACCTTAAATGCTTATGTTCACTAAATATATTTGCCCATTCTTGAATATTCTCTATTATGCGCGGTTTTCATTATGTCAGATACAATGGTCGTCCCTGTCAAAATAATAACAACGGTAAGTTTTTCATGTTTATTAAGAATAACGAAAATCAATGCAGGTAGTATATGAAGGCTGGGGTAATTTGTGGACCGATTTCACACATTTTTGACATACAACTTTAGTATCCCCAGTGTTATATTTTCTCATAATTTTTATAAGTTAGTAAAAGTTTAAAATTCTTATACTAAGTATATGGGAGTTAAGATAATTTTCATATTTACCGATATACGCGATATATAGTTAACTTATTTAGACATACAATCATTATCAGGAAAATATTATCTCCGAATTTAAATGACATATTTTACAGATTGGCCGATATTTTCGAGAAAACGCTGGTGATATGCACTGGGGTCGCATACTCGATATCTAGTTGCTTGAAGAGTTATAGCCCGATTATGAAAATTTTTAGTTATGAGACGGCAAACCTTAAGGGCACTATATGTGAAAAGTTTTATCCCAGTATATTCCATGGTGCTTGATTTGTATACTGGAGAGTAAAGTAATCAGATGGATTTAAAGTTGTGTTATATGGGAAGTAGGCGTGGTTTTTGTCCGATTTTCACACAGTAACATAAGAAAGACAGGGCAATGTCATGTGCGGAATTGGTGGAAACTGGTTAAGTACAGCGTCTATCAATAGGGATGAGATGAGAGTGATTTTGACAGCTCGTGACGGCCATGTTTGGCAACGAATGTGTAAAATTTTGTCAGTGTGTTCAATAGGGTTTGCCATTCCATCATGTCATGATTCACTTTATTACTTATCGCTTATTACGGAAATTCACGTTCTCCGGTGGGTGAGGCCCATTTCTGGAAGAATGGTTTCATCAATAAATACAATTGTTGCTATTGGGGTGAGTCAAATCCTCGTGTGGTTCAGTAAACGCAAATGCATCGCCAAAAATTAACCGTTTGGTGCGGAATACGGTATACTGGCATCAGGTACGGTATATCGAGCCTTTTTTCTCCCGAATTGAGACAGGAAATGCCATCAATAGCGATCGTTATAACATGATGATCGACTTTTCTTCCCGGAGTCTGATGAAATCGAGGCTGACGATCTCTATTTCCAACAAGATGGTGCGCCGCCTCATATTTCACGTCCAAACAGGGACACATTATGTGCACCGTTAAACGACGCTTTTCGTTTTCGGGAGATTGGTCAGTGAAATGGCCGCCAAGATCATGCAATTGAATGCCTCTAGATTACGTTATCTGGGGTTATGATTAATCAAAGGTTTACGTCAGTTAACCAGCAACACTTAAGGAGCTCGAAGACAACACTTAGCTCACTATAGCTGAAATTTTAGCCGAAACACTGCATTGGCGCAACCGGATGGAGATACGCAAACAAAGCAGTGGTGGCCATTTGACCGACATTTAGTTCAAATAATTAATGGTAAAAATTTATCTGCATAACAAAAAAAAAGTATAAGACCCATTTTTACCAAATTTGAGTGTTTTACTTTATTTTAACATCACGTCGTTCTTGTTCGTAGATCCTGTAGTTCTTGAGATGCATGCACTTGAATGCTTCAATTATTACTTTTCGTATCTAGTTTTTTCAAATGGTCCCCAACTGGTTTTTGTGCAATGTTTAGGTCCTGAATAATCGTAATCGATGTTTGGACATGGCGATTTCCACTATTTCATTGATTTTTTCGATAGTTGACATCTTTGACGCGCGCTCAAACAAAACTGGATCAACCAATCACAATACTGTCAAAAAAATGTGTTTTGTACGAAATGCCATCTTTCTAACGCCATTCAGCTGAACCCGACCGGACTTTTACAACGCGAGATACAGATAAATAATGAAATCTAATAAAAATAATTTCCTTTTACTACACCTAATATTTTAAATACCTATATATTTACATATATTACGTTACA